TTATTTTCTATTGATCAAAATATACGTTCATATATCTTAGTCTTTCTATCGAATTTTATTTGCTTGTCAGTTTGTCTGCGAAGGAGTGCTGAAATATTCTCGGCCCGACCAAGAAGAGATTAAAAAAAAATCTATTCTCGTCTAGATTTTCAGCACATTTTCGCATATTGATGGTGTAATAATGGCCGGCTAAATAATCCCTGTTACAGCCGCCTGCTCAGTCATATTGGTCCTTATTCAAAACCCATAGAACCAACCTGTGGTTCTGACTGAAGCTCTTAGGGGGCTTTAGATAGTGTCTGAGAGAGAGAGAGAGAGAGAGAGAGAGAGAGCATAATTAACAGTTTGAACAAAACCCTCGGTCAGGATGACTTCAGATCTTCTGGTAGCACACACCACTCACGGTGTCACACACGCACGCGCGCGCACACACATACACACACACACACACACACACACACACATATATATATATATATATATATATATATAGATAGATAGATAGATAGATAGATAGATAGATAGATAGATAGATAGATAATAACTGGATGTAACAGAAAAATTGCCCAAATCATGTAATAGCATGGGATAATTGCCCATCCTACAAAATATTTAATATCTAAATATTTAATAACTAAGAAATTGAGTTTCTTTTTAGAGATTTTCAGATAAGACATTTCGCCATCTTGCTACCATTCGTCGTTAGAATCATTGAAAACCCCTTTGAGTTATTCAGCTAGAAAGAGATTAGCTTAAAATCGTTTAGTGTCAGACCCAGTTTCCCAAATGAGCGATGGTGGGAGGAAAAATGGTAATGCTACCAACATTTATACTCGGACTTCTATCTTCAAAGTCTATCCAAGAACCATCAAGAGAATGGTGAATAAGTTTCAAAAACTGAGGGGACAGTAGAGAGGAAAACTGGATCAGGACGTCACAACAGGAATGGGGATCATTATTTCAATTTAGAGCTAAATACATTCTTATTGTTCAAAGTAGACTCCGATAATGTTAGAAAAACCTCGGAGAATTTCAATAATATATATTTAATCATATCTAAGATACAACAGTTCAAACCACCGTCGAATGTTCTTAAGAGAGGGCGGATTAGTGTCGAATTGCATTAAAAAAAGCACGCTGCCCCGTGACAACCGCATTTGTTTTCGGGAAGTCGAGAACACAGAACGCCTTTTGTTGAGGACTCACCATTCCGGTAGTAAAGAAACAACTGAACGTTGCCAGAGAATACAACGCGACTACAGCGCCCCCCCCCCCAAGGCATCCATTAAAAACATAGAAAACTCCACTTTCAAATAGTCACTGGCTCATTCCATGACCATGCCTGAGAACTGAAGAAATGCGTCTCGAAATCTTTTTTGAATAACCCTAGATATACACACACACACACACACACACACACACACACACACACACACACATATATATATATATATATATATATATATATATATATATATATATATATATATATATATATTTGGTTGGATTGATGTGAGTTTGTGACCCTGGGTTTCACGCTTTTGCGATCGTCAGACAAGAGTTTGTCTGTCGATCGCCAACTCACATCAATCCAACCAAATATGTTAGCTCTATCTCCGATATTGAGCGCTTTTCTAATAAGTACCACGCATATAATATATAAATAATTATATATATATATATATATATATATATATATATATACTTTTTCATATATATATATATATATATATATATATATATATATATATAGACAACGGAAAAATGAGACAGAGAGAGAGAGAGTGATAATTCTCAATTTTTACACACATACATATTACTTCAAACGTTATTATAATGGAAGTTTCACCTAATTTCTTTTTATTAAACAGCGTGTATTACGTCTATCGGCCTGCCCATACGAGAAATCTTAATAAATAAAAATCGCTTAATCGGCAGGGATCGAAACTGTGCATTCCTTTGTAGGCTTTACCATTTGGCCACGAAGAACGTCACACCAGAGCCGTTTTCCATTTTGGCCTTTTTAATAAAAACACGTTCTCCTTACTCAGTTTATTTTATCGAACGATTCATATATGCTCACTATTTAATAAATACAAATGGGGCGTCTATTTTAAATACGAAGTAACCTTTATAAAGATTTTGGCCGAGCCTCTTTGAATTTTCCCCAAACTCTGGAATTCATATTATCGTCGATTTTTGTTTGAATGGATTGAAAGTAAATATTATTTTCGATTTTGTTCGCATCATTCATATGGAATCTTTCTTTGAAATGATTCTCATTTATAGCTTTTCCCTGCTCTTTACCGAAAGCAATTTTTTTTATACTTGGCATTTTAAAAACACATGGCCAGAATATTTCATCGGCGCCATATTGTTTTATGGTTGCTTAATTTTCTTCTTTTGGTTTGAGATGTGTTCATTGTAAAAATTCGCAGTTCAATCTTTTAGTTCAATGTTAAGAAAATAACAGAGCTAATTGATTGATTTGTTTTTCACTGTTTATCAACCCTTTGCAGGCCAGGCAAAACCAGAAAATATTTTTAGATTGTAAGGATATGTGTTCTTTTGTTTTTTTGGAAGGGGTTGATAATAAAGATTTACTAATACAAGTTCTACTAATTAACCCATAACTAAGGGGAGAAAAGTTGAAATCATTCCGTTCTCTGGTCTATTTGAGCGTAAATGAATATATGAGACTTTATCCATTACACCACCGGCATATCTAAGCTTGCAGACCTGTTATTTCAAAATGGCCACCTATCCAGGTTCGACATTGCTTAACTTCGGTGATCGGACGAGAATCGGTGTTTCGGCGTGATACGGCCTTAATCCAGCTGTATTTAAACTTTACTCTTTACTTCTCTTTTAATTAATCAACTGTAATCGCTGGCTTCTAAGCTTTAGGGGAAAATCCCTCAAGCGTTCGACATAAAATTGTTTCTTTTTCACAACAGATAAATTGTTTTGCAAAAGATAATTACTGGTGAGGTTAAGTAGATTTCTTATTGAAGTCGTGGCTAGGCCCAAGATAATCTTCAATGTCTGAAGCTAGACAGAATAATTTATGGCAGTATTTCGCAACCTTTTTCAGCAACGGCACACCTAGAAGCAAATGAAAATACAACGGTACACTTAGCAGAATTTTTAAAGGGTATATATTTAAATGTTATGAAATAAAACCATAGATATTTTTTTTTAAATAGACAAATATGAAGTTTATTTTAATGTTTCTATTCAACTATTTGTGCATATTATTTAGTGCTTAACCTGTGCCTGGGTGTTTTTTTTTTTCACGATTTCTTCAATGTTTGGTCGAATGTGTGATAAACAGACCCTCATTTCTTCTTCAGTTCAACGTAATCTTTCTCGCTTCTTATTTTTGATGTTATTTAGGGTTGTGAAGCCTAATTCCTATAAATAAGAAGTAAAAGATTGCAATAAAACGGATAAAGCCTTTTCAGCTAATGTGGGATAAAAAGTTTAATATTTATTCATTTCTTCAAATACTAACGCTGTACCATTATTAATTGCATACACGTATATATATGGACGCCGTGACAATATTTTGCGGCACGCACTTGAGAATCTTTGATCTCTGGGAACAATTTGTTGGCGGGTCTCAAAGGGATGTATCTCATACGAATTGCTGGAACTTGTACACATTGTTATATCTTGATGCTAAAGGGTTCGTTTGAATGATACAAAAAGGACACTTAATTGAAATTTCTAGGGTACGTAATGAGGAAAGAGTGCTTGGAAAATCCGATACTCACAGGACAGATTGAAGGCAAGAGGGACATAGGAAAACAAAGTTTACTACCAAGCGAGTTTAAGTAAATGGATGACGGTTTAGGAGATCAAGATTTAGGGGAGATACCAAAAAGACAAAATTTATTAAGAGCTACAAGGAGGAGAAAATTACGAAAAGCCATGATCGCTAACGCTATAAAGGGATACGACACAGAGAAAAAAAAAACAATGGAACAAATAATTGCTTTCCTAAGCCATGAAATAGGATAGATGTTTTTTTACACTATATACCCATCCTCATGTTGCAAAGTTGACGCAGTAAAAGGTTATGGAGTTAAGATGGAAAGGTTTTCCTCGGGCAGTTTGTTAACTGTCATGTTTTAAACTTGTCGTAACTCTACTCGTCTATCGCTTCCGATAAGGTGAAGACATCGAAAAACATTTCTCGAAAACATTTTCAAAAACAAAGGAAAACAAATCTTTTCTTTTTCTGTGAAGTTTAACTGAAAGATGGCGTTATACAACCATGGAAAACATATGACATAAATATCTCTCAATATCTGTCTATATTTCTGAGATGAGGTATTGTAATTATTTACACTGTATATATTGTTCGGGCTGTTGTCCTCATCTTTGTTGCCATATTCACGACGTTTCGGACGTCATACGCTCCGGCTATCTTCAGGTGTTTGGAATTTCGAACTGAACCCTTTATTTCGTCCTCAACGACAAAAGGTCCAGTGGAGTAAAGCGTTGGTTGGATCCAGTGACTTGACCCAAAGACTTGTGAGTTCAATACCTGGCTACAGCGGAGGTGAGCAAAAAGTTAGGGGGTTGAGTTAAAGGGAAATAATGGAAACTGAGACATCCGGAAGAGGCATGGTGCTTGGACATAGAACACACTAAACTGGGACAAAATAAAGAGTTCAGTTTGAAATTCCAAACACATGAAGAAAGCCGGAGTGTACAAGGGCCGAAACGTCATGAAGATAGCAACAAAGACGAGGACAACAGTCCGAACAATGTGAATACTGTAAATGAATATTCAAAATAATGCGGCTTCCATTAAAGGAATAACAAACTCATAAAAGCCTGTCATTTTTTTAATGATATTTCGTCTTCAGTCTATCTTTAATTGTACATCTTAATTCTTTTTTATCCTCCCTCCATCACTCATTTCCTCTAGCTTTTCTTTAATTCTGCCTCTTCGGTCTTTTCCATCCCCCCTCCTCTCTCATTTCCTCTAGCCTTTCTTTAATTCTGCCTCTTCAGTCTTTTGATCCTCCCTCCTCTCACATTTCCTCTTGCCTTTCTTTAATTCTGCCTCTTCAGTCTTTTCCATCCTCCCTCCTCTCTCATTTCCTCTAGCTTTTCTTTAATTCTGCCTCTTCGGTCTTTTCCATCCCACCTCCTCTCATTTCCTCTAGCCTTTCTTTAATTCTGCCTCTTCAGACTTTTCCATCATTCCCCCTCTCTCATTTCCTCTAGCCTTTCTTTAAGTCTGCCTCTTCAGTCTTTTCCATCATTCCCCCTCTCACATTTCCTCTTGCCTTTCTTTAATTCTGCCTCTTCAGTCTTTTCCATCCTCCCTCCTCTCACATTTCCTCTTGCCTTTCTTTAATTCTGCCTCTTCAGTCTTTTCCATCCTCCCTCCTCTCTCATTTCCTCTAGCCTTTCTTTAATTCTGCCTCTTCAGTCTTTTCCATCCTCCCTCCTCTCTCATTTCCTCTAGCCTTTCTTTAATTCTGCCTCTTCAGACTTTTCCATCCTCTCCTCCTCCCTCTCTCTCATTTCCTCTCCCTCCCTTTCCTCTTTAAATCTGCCTCTTTTCAGTCTTTTTCCCCCTTCCTCTCTCTCATTTCCTCTAGCCTTTCTTTAAATCTGCCTCTTCAGTCTTTTCCATCCTCTCTCCTCTCTCATTTCCTCTAGCCTTTCTTTAAGTCTGCCTCTTCAGTCTTTTCCATCCTCCCTCCTCTCACATTTCCTCTAGCTTTTCTTTAAATCTGCCTCTTCAGTCTTTTTTCCATCCTTCCCCTCTCTCATTTCCTCTAGCTTTTCTTTAATTCTGCCTCTTCAGTCTTTTTCCATCCTCCCTCCTCTCATTTCCTCTAGCCATTCTTTAATTCTGCCTCTTCAGTCTTTTCCATCCTCCCCTCCCCTCTCTCATTTCCTCTAGCCTTTCTTTAATTCTGCCTCTTCAGTCTTTTCCATCCTCCTCCTCTCTCATTTCCTCTAGCCTTTCTTTCGTCTGCCTCTTCAGTCTTTTCCATCCTCCCCTCCTCTCATTTCCTCTTGCCTTTCTTTTAATTCTGCCTACTTCAGTCTTTTCCATCCTCCCTCCTCTCTCATTTCCTCTAGCCTTTTCTTTAATTCTGCCTCTTCAGTCTTTTCCATCCTTCCTCCTCTCTCATTTCCTCTAGCCTTTCTTTAATTCTGCCTCTTCAGTCTTTTCCATTCCTCCTCTCTCATTTCCTCTAGCCTTTCTTTAAATCTGCCTCTTCTCTTTTCCATCCTCCTCCTCTCATTTCCTCTAGCCTTTCTTTAAATCTGCCTCTTTCTTTTTTCCATCCTCCCTCTCTCTCATTTCCTCTAGCCTTTTAATTCTGCCTCTTCAGTCTTTTTCCATCCTCCCTCCTCTCTCATTTCCTCTAGCCTTTTTTTTAAATCTGCCTCTTCAGTCTTTTTCCATCCTTCCTCTTCTCTCTCATTTCCTCTAGCCTTTCTTTAATTCTGCCTCTTCAGACTTTTCCATCCTCCTCCTCTCATTTCCTCTAGCCTTTCTTTAATTCTGCCTCTTCAGACTTTTCCATCCCTCCTCCTCTCTCATTTCCTTCCTTTCTCTGCCTCTTCAGTCTTCCCATCCTCCTCCTCTCTCATTTCCTCTCTTTCTTTAATTCTTTTCCATCTTTTCCATCCTCTCTCCTCTCATTTCCTTTCTTTAAATCTGCCTCTTCAGTTTTTTCCATCCTCCCTCCTCTCTCATTTCCTCTAGCCTTTCTTTAAATCTGCCTCTTCAGTCTTTTCCATCCTCCCTCCTCTCTCATTTCCTCTAGCCTTTCTTTAAATCTGCCTCTTCAGTCTTTTCCATCCTCCTCCTCTCTCATTTCCTCTAGCCTTTCTTTAATTCTGCCTCTTCAGTCTTTTCCATCCTCCCTCTCTCTCATTTCCTCTAGCCTTTCTTTAAATCTGCCTCTTCAGTCTTTTCCATCCTCCCTCCTCTCTCATTTCCTCTAGCCTTTCTTTAAATCTGCCTCTTCAGACTTTTCCATCCTCCTCTCTCTCATTTCCTCTAGCCTTTCTTTAAGTCTGCCTCTTCAGTCTTTTCCATCCTCCCTCCCTCTCATTTCCTCTAGCCTTTCTTTAATTCTGCCTCTTCAGTCTTTCCATCTCCTCCTCTCTCATTTCTCATTTCCTCTAGCCTTTCTTTAAATTCTGCCTCTTTCCTCTTTCCATCCTCTTCAGACTTTCATTTCCTCTCAGCCTTTCTTTAATTCTGCCTCTTCAGTCTTTTCCATCCTCCTCCTCTCTCATTTCCTCTTGCCTTTCTTTAAATCTGCCTCTTCAGTCTTTTCCATCCTCCCTCCTCTCTCATTTCCTCTTTTCTTTCTTTAATTCTGCCTCTTCCTCTTTCCATCCTCCCTCCTCTCTCATTTCCTCTAGCCTTTCTTTAAATCTGCCTCTTCAGTCTTTTCCATCCTCCCTCTCTCTCCATTTCCTCTAGCCTTTCTTTAATTCTGCCTCTTCAGTCTTTTCCATCCTCCCTCCTCTCTCATTTCCTCTAGCCTTTCTTTAATTCTGCCTCTTCAGTCTTTTCCATCCTCCCTCCTCTCTCATTTCCTCTAGCCTTTCTTTAATTCTGCCTCTTCAGTCTTTTCCATCCTCCCTCCTCTCACATTTCCTCTAGCCTTTCTTTAAATCTGCCTCTTCAGTCTTTTCCATCCTCCCTCCTCTCTCATTTCCTCTAGCCTTTCTTTAATTCTGCCTCTTCAGTCTTTTCCATCCTCCCTCCTCTCTCATTTCCTCTAGCCTTTCTTTAATTCTGCCTCTTCAGTCTTTTCCATCTTCCTCCTCTATCTCTCTCTTTCTTTTAAATTTCCTCTAGCCTTTTTCTTTAATTCTGCCTCTTCAGTCTTTTCCATCCTCCCTCCTCTCTCATTTCCTCTAGCCTTTCTTTAAATCTGCCTCTTCAGTCTTTTCCATCCTCCCTCCTCTCTCATTTCCTCTAGCCTTTCTTTAAATCTGCCTCTTCAGTCTTTTCCATCCTCCCTCCTCTCTCATTTCCTCTAGCCTTTCTTTAATTCTGCCTCTTCAGTTTTCTTTTCCATCCTCCTCCTCTCTCATTTCCTCTAGCCTTTCTTTAATTCTGCCTCTTCAGACTTTCCATCCTCCTTTCCTCCTCTCCATTTCCTCTAGCCTCCTTTCTTTTTTCTGCCTCTTCAGTCTTTTCCATCCTCCTCCCTCTCTAGTTTCCTCTAGCCTTTCTTTAATTTTCCTCTTCAGTCTTTTCCATCCTCCCTCTCTCTCATTTTTCCTCTAGCCTTTCTTTAATTCTGCCTCTTCAGTCTTTTCCATCCTCCCTCCTCATTTCATTTCCTCTAACCTTTCTTTTCCATCTGCCTCTTCAGTCTTTTTTTTCCTCCCTCCTCTTTCATTTCCTCTAGCCTTTCTTTAATTCTGCACCTCTTCAGTCTTTTCCATCCTCCTCCTCTCTCATTTCTCTCTAGCCTTTCTTTAAATCTGCCTCTTCAGACTTTTTTTTTCCATCCTCCCTCCTCTCTCATTTCCTCTAGCCTTTCTTTAAGTCTGCCTCTTCAGTCTTTTTTCCATCCTCCCCTCTCTCATTTCCTCTAGCCTTTCTTTAAATCTGCCTCTTCAGTCTTTTCCAATTTCCTCTAGCCTTTCTTTAAATCTGCCTCTTCAGTCTTTTCATCCCACCTTTTCATCCTCCTCCTCTCCCATTTCCTCTAGCCTTTCTTTAAATCTGCCTCTTCAGTCTTTTCCATCCTCCCTCCTCTCTCATTTCCTCTTGCCTTTCTTTAAATCACCTCTTCAGTCTTTTCCATCCTCCCTCCTCTCTCATTTCCTCTCTGCCTTTCTTTAAATCTGCCCTTCTTTTTTCAGTCTCCCTCCTCTCTCATTTCCTCTCTTTCTCTGCCTCTTCAGTCTTTTCCATCCTCCTCCTCTCTCATTTTCTTCTTTAATTCTGCCTCTTCAGTCTTTTCCATCCTCCCTCCTCTCTCTAGTTTCCTCTAGCCTTTCTTTTTAAAATCTGCCTCTTCAGTCTTTTCCATCCTCCCTCCTCTCTCATTTCCTCTAGCCTTTCTTTAATTTCTGCCTCTTCAGTCTTTTCCATCCTCCTCCTCTCTCATTTCCTCTAGCCTTTTCTTTAAATCTGCCTCTTCAGTTTTTTCCATCCTCCCTCCTCTCTCATTTCCTCTAGCCTTTCTTTAAATCTGCCTCTTCAGTCTTTTCCATCCTCCCTCCTCTCTCATTTCCTCTAGCCTTTCTTTAAATCTGCCTCTTCAGTCTTTTCCATCCTCCCTCCTCTCTCATTTCCTCTAGCCTTTCTTTAAATCTGCCTCTTCAGTCTTTTTTCCATCCTCCCTCCTCTCTCATTTCCTCTAGCCTTTCTTTAATTCTGCCTCTTCAGTCTTTTTCCATCTCCTCCTCTCTCATTTCCTCTAGCCTTTCAATTCTGCCTCTTCAGTCTTTTCCATCCTCCCTCCTCTCTCATTTCCTCTAGCCTTTCTTTAAATCTGCCTCTTCAGTCTTTTCCATCCTCCCTCCTCTCTCATTTCCTCTAGCCTTTCTTTAATTCTGCCTCTTCAGACTTTTCCATCCTCCCTCCTCTCTAGTTTCCTCTAGCCTTTCTTTAAATCTGCCTCTTCAGTCTTTTCCATCCTCCCTCCTCTCTCATTTCCTCTAGCCTTTCTTTAAATCTGCCTCTTCAGTCTTTTCCATCCTCCTCCTCTCCATTTCCTCTAGCCTTTCTTTAAATCTGCCTCTTCAGTCTTTTCCATCCTCCTCCTCTCTCATTTCCTCTAGCCTTTCTTTAAATCTGCCTCTTCAGTCTTTTCCATCTCCTCCTCTCATTTCCTCTAGCCTTTCTTTAAATCTGCCTCTTCAGTCTTTTTTCCATCCTCCTCCTCTCCATTTCCTCTAGCCTTTCTTTTCTGCCTCTTCAGTCTTTTCCATCCTCCTCCTCTCTCATTTCCTCTAGCCTTTCTTTAAATCTGCCTCTTCAGTCTTTTCCATCCTCTCTCCTCTCTCATTTCCTCTAGCCTTTCTTTAATTCTGCCTCTTCAGTCTTTTCCATCCTCCCTCCTCTCTCTAGTTTCTCTAGCCTTTCTTTAAGTCTGCCTCTTCAGTCTTTTCCATCCTCCCTCCTCTCTCTCCTCTATCCTTCTTCGTCTGCCTTTAAAGTCCTCCATCTTTTCCATCCTCTCTCCTTTCTCCTCTAGCCTTTCTTTAAATCTGCCTCTTCAGTCTTTTCCATCCTCCCTCTCTCATTTCCTCTAGCCTTTCTTTAAATCTGCCTCTTCAGTCTTTTCCATCCTCCCTCCTCTCTCATTTCCTCTAGCCTTTCTTTAAGTCTGCCTCTTCAGTCTTTTCCATCCTCCCTCCTCTCTCATTTCCTCTAGCCTTTCTTTAAGTCTGCCTCTTCAGTCTTTTCCATCCTCCCTCCTCTCTCATTTCCTCTAGCCTTTCTTTAATTCTGCCTCTTCAGTCTTTTCCATCCTCCCTCCTCTCTCATTTCCTCTAGCCTTTCTTAAATCTGCCTCTTTCAGACTTCTCCATCCTCCCTCCTCTCTCATTTCCTCAGCCTTTCTTTTCCTCTGCCTTTCTTCACTCTTTCCATCCTCCTCCCTCTCTCTCATTTCCTCTAGCCTTTCTTTAATTCTGCCTCTTCAGTCTTTTCCATCCTCCCTCCTCTCTCATTTCCTCTAGCCTTTCTTTAATTCTGCCTCTTTTCATCCTCCCTCCCTCTTTTCCTCTCCTCCCTCCTCTTCATTCTTTTCCTCTCTCTCCTTTCTTTAAATCTGCCTCTTCAGTCTTTTCCTCCTCCTCTCTCATTTCCTCTAGCCTTTCTTTAATTCTGCCTCTTCAGACTTTTCCATCCTCCCTCCTCTCTCATTTCCTCTAGCCTTTCTTTAAATCTGCCTCTTCAGTCTTTTCCATCCTCCCTCCTCTCTCATTTCCTCTAGCCTTTCTTTAAGTCTGCCTCTTCAGTCTTTTCCATCCTCCCTCCTCTCACATTTCCTCTAGCCTTTCTTTAAATCTGCCTCTTCAGTCTTTTCCATCCTCCCTCTCATTTTTCCTCTAACCTTTCTTTAATTCTCTTCTCTCTTTTCATCCCCCTCCCCTCTCATTTCCTCTAGCCTTTCTTTAATTCTGCCTCTTCAGTTTTTTCATCATTCCCCTCTCTTTCCTCTAGCTTTTCTTTAAATCTGCCTCTTCAGTCTTTTCCATCATTCCCCCTCTCACATTTTTCTTTCTTTAATTCTGCCTCTTCAGTCTTTTCCATCCTCCCTCCTCTCTCATTTCCTCTTGCCTTTCTTTAATTCTGCCTCTTCAGTCTTTTCCATCCTCCCTCCTCTCATTTCCTCTAGCCTTTTCTTTAATTCTGCCTCTTCAGTCTTTCCATCCTTCCTCCTCTCTCATTTCCTCCCTTTCTTTAATTCTGCCTCTTCAGTCTTTTCATCCTCCTCCTCTCACATTTCCTCTAGCCTTTCTTTCATCCTGCCTCTTCAGTCTTTCCATCCTCCCTCCCTCTCATTCCTCTAGCCTTTCTTTAATTCTGCCTCTTCAGTCTTTTCCATCCTCCCCCTCTCTCATTTCCTCTAGCCTTTCTTTCTTCTGCCTCTTCAGTCTTTTTCCATCTCCTCCTCTCTCATTTTCCTCTAGCCTTTCTTTAATTCTGCCTCTTCAGTCTTTTCCATCCTCTCCTCTCTCTCATTTCCTCTAGCCTTTCTTCAATTCTGCCTCTTCAGTCTTTTCCATCCTCCTCCCTCTAATTTCCTCTAGCCTTTCTTTAATTCTGCCAGTCTTTTCCATCCTCCTCCTCTCTCATTTCCTCTAGCCTTTTCTTTAATTCTGCCTCTTCAGTCTTTTCCATCCTCCCTCCTCTCTCATTCCTCTAGCCTTTCTTTCGTCTGCCTCTTCAGTCTTTTCCATCCTCGATCTCTCTCATTTCCTCTAGCCTTTCTTTTTAATCTGCCTCTTCAGTCTTTTCCATCCTCCCTCCTCTCTCATTTCCTCTAGCCTTTCTTTAAGTCTACTCTTCTGTCTTTTCCATCCTCCCTCCTCTCTCATTTCCTCTAGCCTTTCTTTAAATCTGCCTCTTCAGTCTTTTCCATCCTCCCTCCTCTCACATTTCCTCTAGCCTTTCTTTAATTCTGCCTCTTCGGTCTTTTCCATCCCCCCTCCTCTCATTTCCTCTAGCCTTTCTTTAATTCTGCCTCTTCAGACTTTTCCATCATTCCCCCTCTCTCATTTCCTCTAGCCTTTCTTTAAGTCTGCCTCTTCAGTCTTTTCCATCATTCCCCCTCTCACATTTCCTCTAGCCTTTCTTTAATTCTGCCTCTTCAGTCTTTTCCATCCTCCCTCCTTTCACATTTCCTCTTGCCTTTTTTATCCTCCTTCTCACCTCTTCAGTCTTTCCATCCTCCTCCTCCTCTCTCATTTCCTCTAGCCTTTCTTTAATTCTGCCTCTTCAGTTTTTCCATCCTTCCTCTCTCTCATTTCCTCTCAGCCTTTCTTTAATTCTGCCTCTTCACTCTTTTCCATCCTCCTCTCTCTCATTCCTCTAGCCTTTCTTTAAATCTGCCTCTTCAGTCTTTTCCCATCCTCCTCCTCTCTCATTTCCTCCTGTAACCCTTTCTTTAAATCTACCTCTCCAGTCTTTTCCATCCTCTCCCTCTCTCATTTCCTCTAACCTTTCTTTAAATCTGCCTCTTCAGTCTTTTCATCCTCCTCTTCTCACATTTTCCTCTAGCCTTTCTTCCGTCTACTCTTCAGTCTTTTCCATCCTCCGTCCTCTCTCATTTCCTCTAGCCTTTCTTTAAGTCTGCCTCTTCAGACTTTTTCCTTCATTCCTCTCCTCATTTCCTCTAGCCTTTCTTCGTCTGCCTCTTCAGTCTTTTCATCCTCCTCTCTCATTTCCTCTAGCCTTTCTTTAATTCTGCCTCTTCAGTCTTTTCATCCTCCCTCCTCTCTCACATTTCCTCTAGCCTTTCTTTAATCTGCCTCTTCGGTCTTTTTCCATCCCCTCCTCTCATTTTCCTCTAGCCTTTCTTTAAATCTGCCTCTTCAGTCTTTCCATCCTCCCTCCTCTCTCATTTTCCTCTAACCTTTCTTTAATTCTGCCTCTTCAGACTTTTTCCATCCTCCTCCTCTCTAGTTTCCTCTAACCTTTCTTAAATTCTGCTTCTTCAGTCTTTTCCATCCACCCTCCTCTCTCATTTCCTCTAGCCTTTCTTTTAAGTCTGCCTCTTCAGTCTTTTCCATCCTCCCCTCTCTCATTTCATTTTCTCCTCTATTCTTTTTCTCTGCTTTTCCAGTCTGCCTCTGCAATTTTCCATCCTCTCTCTCTCATTTCCCCTCTAGCCTTTCTTTCGTCTGCCTCTTCTGTCTTTTTCATCCTCCCTCCTCTCTGTTTCCCTCTAGCCTTTCTTTCGTCTGCCTCTTCAGTCTTTTCCATCCTCCCTCCTCTCCCCATTTCCTCTGCTTTCTTTATTCTGCCTCTTCAGTCTTTTCCATCCTCCTTCTCTCTTTCTTTTCCTTTCTTTAATTCTGCTCTTCTCTTTCTTTCCCTCCTCTCTCATTTCCTCTGCTTCTTTCTTTATATTTTCTGCTTCTCTTTTATGTTACTAATCTCTCTCCCCCTCTAAATTCCTCTAGCCTTACTAAACCTGCCTCTCTCATTTATATTACTAAACATTCTCTCTCTCCCCATTTTCCTAGCCTTCTCTTCTTATATTCTAACCTTCTCTCTGTTCTTTTCTATCCCCCCCTCATTTCATTTCTCTTCTTTCTCTCATCTGCCTCTAAACCTTCTCTCATTTATCCCTCCCTCTCTCTCATTTCCCTATTACTTTCTTTGTCTGCCTCATTACTTATATTATAAACCTCCTCTCTCTTTCCTAAGTGCATCTCTTCATTTAATTCTGCCTTTCAATTTTTTCCATCCTCCCTCTCTCTCTCTAGCCTTTCTTTAAATCTGCCTCTTCATTCTATCCTCCCTCCTCTCATTTCCTCTAACCTTTCTTTAAATCTGCCTCTTCAGTCTTTTCCATCCTCCCTCTCTCTCTCATTTCCTAAGCCTTTTCTTTAAGTCTGCCTCTTCAGTCTTTTCCATCCTCCCTCCTCTCTCATTTCCTCTAGCCTTTCTTCGTCTGCCTCTTCAGTCTTTTCATCCTCCCTCCTCTCTCATTTTCATCTAGCCTTTCTTTAATTCTGCCTCTTCAAGTCTTTTCCATCCTCCCTCCTCTCTCGACTCCTAAGCCTTTCTTTCATCTGCCTCTTCTCTCTTTCTTCATTCCTCTCTCTCATTTCCTCTTGCTCTTTCTTTAAATCTGCCTCTCTCTTTTATATTACTAAACCTTCTCTCTCCTTTATATTACTTTAAATCTGCCTCTTCAGTCTTTCATCCTCCCTCCTCTCATTTCCTCTCTTTTCTTTAATCTGCCTCTTCAGTCATTTTCCATCCCCCTTTATATTCCTAAACCTTTTCTTCTCTCCTTTATATTTACATCCCCTTCTCTCATTTCCTCTAGCCTTTCTAAATTCTAAACCTCTTCTCATTTATATTCCCCCTCTCTCATTTCCTCTAGCCTTTCTTTAAACCTTCTCTTCTCATTTATATTACTTCCCCTTCTCTCATTTTATATTAAACCTTAAATTGCCTCTTCAGTTTATATTCCTCCCTCCTCTCTCATTCCTCTATTTTCTTAAATCTGCCTCTTCAGTCTTTACATCCTTCCTCCTCTCTCATTTTCTAACCTTTCTTTATTTCTGCCTCTCTCTCATTTATATTCCTAAACCTCTCTCATTTCCTCTATATTTCTTTAAATCTGCCTCTCATTTATATTTTAATCCTCCCTCATTTATATTTAAATTGTCTCTCTCATTTATATTTAAATCTGCCTCTTCATTTATATTACTAAACCTCTAATTTCATTTAGCCTTTCTTTAAACCTCCCTTCTCTCATTTATATTACTAAATCATTTATATTACTTATATTCTCTCATTTCTCCCTTCCTCTTCATTTCTTATTACTAAACCTTCTCTCTCATTTATATTACTAAACCTTCCTCTCATTTATATTACTAAACCTTCTCTCATTTATATTTACTAAATTGTCTTTCTTCATTTATATATTCCAGTTTTTCCATCCTCTCCTTTATATTACTAAACCTCCTTTCTTTAAATCTAAACCTTCTATATTTTTAAATTGTCTCTCTCTCTTATTTCCTAAACTTTTCTTTAATTCTGCCTCTTCTCATTTCCTCCCTCCCTTCTCTCATTTCCTATAGCCTTTTCTTTCTCTCTCATTTATATTTTAATCCTTCCTCTCTCTCATTTCCTCTATTTCTTTAATTCTCTCTCTTCATTTATATTCCTAAATTTTCTCTGGTTACTTATATTTCTTTAATCTCTTCTCTTCATTTATTTACTAAACCTCCTCTCTCATTTATATTTCTTTTAAACCTGCCTCTCATTTATATTACTAAACCTTCTCTCTCATTTATATTTCTTTAAATCTTCTCTTCAGTTATTTTATAAACCTTCTCTCTCAAATTTTCTCTCTCATTTATATTATTCTTCTCTCATTTATATTACTAAATTTCTCTCTCATTTATATTACTAAACCTTCTCTCTCATTTATATTACTAAACCTTCTCTCTCATTTTAAAACTTCTCTTATTTAAACTAAACCTCTTCAGACTTATATTACTAAACCTTCTCTCTCATTTATATTTCTTTAAATTGCCTCTCTCTTTACATCCCTAAATTTTCTCTCATTTATATTACTAAACCTTCTCTCTCATTTATATTACTAAACCTTTCTCTCATTTATATTCTAAACTTTCTCTCTCATTTATATTCCTAAACCTTCTCTCTCATTTCCTATATTACTAAATTATCTCTCTCATTTATATTACTAAATTGTCTCTCTCATTTATATTACTAAATTCTCTCATTTATATTACTAAACCTCCTCTCTCTCATTTCCTAAACCTTCTCTCATTTATATTCTCTCTCATTTATATTACTAAACCTCTCTCTCATTTATATTACTAAACCTTCTCTCTCATTTATCTTTACATAAACCTTCTCTCATTTATATTACTAGCCTTTCTCTCATTTAATTAAATTGCGACCTCTCTCATTTATATTACTAAACCTCTCTCTCATTTATATTAGCCTTTTTATATTCTAAACCTCTTCTTTTATATTCTCTAAATTACTCTCCTTCTCATTTATATTACTAAACCTTCTCTCTCATTTATATTACTAAACCTTCTCTCTCATTTATATTACTAAATCTTTCTCTCTTTATTTATTTTTACTCCTCCTTCTCTCTCATTTATATTACTAAACCTTCTTACTAAACCTTCTCTCATTATATTACTAAATTGTCTCTCTCTCATTACTATTCTCTCATTTAAGTTATAAACCTTCTCTCTCATTTCATTTACCTCTCTCTCATTTAAATACTAAACCTCTCTCTCATTTATATTACTAAACCTTCTCTCTCATTTATATTACTAAACCTTCTCTCATTTATATTACTAAACCTTCTCTCATTTATATTACTAAACCTGTCTCTCTCATTTATATTACTAAATTCTCTCTCATTTATATTACTAAACCTTCTCTCTATTTATATTACTAAACTAAATTGTCTCTCTCATTTATATTACTAAACCTTCTCTCTCTCATTTATATTACTAAATTGTCTCTCTCATTTATATTACTAAACCTTCTCTCTCATTTATATTACTAAAATTGTCTCTCTCATTTATATTACTAAACCTTCTCTCTCTTATATTACTAAATTCTCTATATTTATATTACTAAATTCTCTCTCATTTATATTACTAAACCTTCTCTCTTATTTATATTACTAAATTGTCTCTCTCATTTATATTACTAAATTTTTCTCTCATTTATATTACTAAACCTTCTCTCATTTATATTAAACCTTTCTCTCATTTATATTACTAAACCTTCTCTCTCATTTATATTACTAAACCTTCTCTCTCATTTTATATTACTAAACCTTCTCTCATTTATATTACTAAACCTTCTCTCTCATTTATATTACTAAACCTTCTCTCTCATTTATATTAACCTTCTCTCATTTTCTCTCTCATTTATATTACTAACCCTTCTCTCTCTCATTTATATTACTAAATTTCTCTCTCATTTTATATTACTAAACCTTCTCTCTCATTTATATTACTAAACCTCTCTCTCATTTATTTACTAAACCTTCTCTCTCATTTATATTTAAACCTTCTCTCATTTATATTACTAAACCTTCTCTCTCATTTATATTACTAAACCTTCTCTCTCATTTATATTACTAAACCTTCTCTCTCATTTATATTACTAAACCTTCTCTCTCATTTATATTACTAAATTGTCTCTCTCATTTATATTACTAAACCTTCTCTCTCATTTATATTACTAAACCTTCTCTCTCATTTATATTACTAAACCTTCTCTCTCATTTATATTACTAAATTGTCTCTCTCATTTATATTACCTTCTCTCTCATTTATTACTAATTGTCTCTCTCATTTATATTACTAAACCTTCTCTCTCATTTATATTACTCTCATTTATATTACTAAAAACCTCTCTCATTTATATTACTAAACCTTCTCTCTCATTTATATTACTAAACCTTCTCTCTCATTTATATTACTAAATTGTCTCTCTCATTTATATTACTAAACCTTCTCTCATTTATATTACTAAACCTTCTCTCTCATTTATATTACTAAACCTTCTCTCTCATTTATATTACTAAATTACTAAACCTTCTCTCATTTATATTACTAAACCTTCTCTCTCATTTATATTACTAAACCTTCTCTCTCATTTATATTACTAAACCTTCTCTCTCATTTATATTTACTAAAATTTTATTCTCATTTATATTACTAAACCTTCTCTCTCATTTTATATTACTAAACCTTCTCTCTTTATATTTTAAACCTCTCTCTATTTATTTTAACCTCTCTCATTTATATTCTAAACTTTTCTATTTATATTACTAAATTGTCTCTCTCTTTATATTACTAAACCTTCTCTCTCATTTATATTACTAAACCTTCTCTCATTTATATTCTAAACCTTCTCTCATTTATATTACTAAATTGTTCTCTCTCATTTATATTACTAAACCTTCTCTCTCATTTCTATTACTAAATTGTCTCTCTTATTTATTACTAAACCTTCTCTCTCATTTATATTACTAAACCTTCTCTCTCATTTATATTACTAAATTGTCTCTCATTTATATTACTAAATTGTCTCTCTCATTTATATTACTAAACCTCTCTCTCATTTATATTACTAAACCTTCTCTCTCATTTATATTACTAAATTGTCTCTCTCATTTATATTACTAAATTCTCTCTCATTTATATTACTAAACCTCTCATTCTCATTTATATTTCTCTCTAAATTACTTCTCTCATTTATATTTATTTCTCTCTCATTTATATTTAAATTCTCTCTCATTTATATTACTAAACCTTCTCTCTCATTTTATATTACTAAATTGTCTCTCATTTATATTACTAAACCTTCTCTCTCATTTATATTACTAAACCTTCTCTCTCATTTATATTACTAAATTGTCTCTCATTTATATTCTAAACCTTCTCTCATTTATATTACTAAAATTTCTCTCTCATTTTATTACTAAACCTTCTCATTTATATTACTAAATTGTCTCTCATTTATATTACCTTCTCTCATTTATATTCAAATTTATATTTTACTAAACCTTCTCTCTCATTTATATTACTAAACCTTTCTCTCATTTATATTACTAAATTGTCTCTCTCATTTATATTACTAAACCTTCTCTCTCATTTATATTACTAAACCTTCTCTCTCATTTATATTACTAAATTTCTCTCATTTATATTACTAAACCTTCTCTCTCATTTATATTACTAAATTCTCTCATTTATATTATAAATTGTCTCTTACTATTACCCTTCTCTCTCATTTATATTACTAAACCTTCTCTCATTTCATTTTATATTACTAAACCTTCTCTCTCATTTATATTTAAACCTTCTCTCTAAATTATAAATTGTCTCTCTCATTTATATTACTAAACCTTCTCTCTCATTTATATTACTAAATTGTCTCTCATTTATATTATAAACCTTCTCTCTCATTTATTAAAATTTCTCTCTCATTTATATTACTAAACCTTCTCTCTCATTTATATTACTAAATTGTCTCTCTCATTTATATTACTAAACCTTCTCTCTCATTTATATTACTAAATTGTCTCTCTCATTTATATTACTAAACCTTCTCTCTCATTTATATTACTAAATTGTCTCTCTCATTTATATTACTAAACCTTCTCTCTCATTTATATTACTAAACCTTCTCTCTCATTTATATTACTAAACCTTCTCTCTCATTTATATTACTAAATTGTCTCTCTCATTTTATATTACTACTAAACCTTCTCTCATTTATATTACTAAACCTTCTCTCATTTTATATTACTAAAATTCTCTCTCATTTATATTACTAAATTATAAACCTTCTCTCATTTATATTACTAAATTGTCTCTCTCATTTATATTACTAAACCTTCTCTCATTTATATTACTAAACCTTCTCTCTCATTTATATTACTAAACCTTCTCTCATTTATATTACTAAATTGTCTCTTATTTATATTACTAAACCTTCTCTCTCATTTATATTACTAAACCTTCTCTCTCATTTATATTACTAAATTTCTCTCTCATTTATTTACTAAATTGTCTTTTTATTTACTAAATTGTCTCTCATTTATATTACTAAACCTTCTCTCATTTATATTACTAAACCTTCTCTCTCATTTATATTACTAAACCTTCTCTCTCATTTATATTACTAAATTGTCTCTCTTACTTATATTACTAAACCTCTCTCTCATTTCATTTACATTTATATTACTAAACCTTCTCTCTCATTTATATTTACCTTCTCTCTATTTACTTCTCTCTCATTTATATTACTAAACCTTCTCTCTCATTTATATTACTAAACCTTC